TATAAAAATAGATTGTAAATATTATAAGATGTTAAATAATTTCTGGCATTGCATAAGACACTTTCATCGTGAGATCATTAGAGCTACTTCCTAAAATAATTTTTTTTGGCCAACCTCCCACGTTTTCTATTGCATTTTTTTTTGGGATTCGTATGGAAATCACACCGTAAAAGGTTTCTTCTTGGTAAATTATTTAATATTCTATAGATTATGCAATTGATTAACAATAAAACAGCAAATTACAGGTGAATCATCAACCTGTTCTGCGGTTTCGTCCGTTTTATTAATTCCATTATTATTGAAAAAAAAATAAAACAAAAACCTTGTTGATATTTTACATTTGTAATTAACTCTTTTATAATTCTATATACTACGTAATAAATAGATTTAACCATAATCAATTATCGATTTCTTGCTTCTTTCTTTATCTTGAAATCATCATTTCTTTAGTTATGTGAATCAGTATTGAGTTAAGCTCTTGTTTGTAAGTTTAGTTAATAAACCAATGAGGAATAGAATAGTTGATTACTTGCATTGTAGAAATCGCTCTTCAACTAAATATAAAAGGAGAGAATGAAGTAAAATCAATAGAATCCAAACGAAGCATTGTGTTGTTCGATTGCGTCGAATAATTGCGGATAACTTTCATAATTAACGCGATTTGTGATGGTAATTGCGGGTAAAAGCTGATGGAACAAATCGCGCCGGAAATCTTGACATGCAATTCGGACGTTGTGTGTGAATTATGCGTGCACCGAAAGTGGGGAAGACCATCATCATCAACAAGAACAACAACATTCGTTGGTTTCGGCGCTGCAAAATACTTCCAGTGAAAGTGAAAGAGCGAGTTGTTGTTCCTCCTCCTTCTACTTCATCGATGATGGCAATAACAATGATAATAACGGAATTTTCCTTGAGCTCTTCGTCGTCGCACCACCGCTGCTGTCGCCGTTTACGTAACGAAAAGCCGGCCAGGACGGCGTCACTCGACGGATCCCCCGAGGCAAGCGATTATTTATTTGATATGCTCGGAACTCCATCCAGTTTTTGGACTTTCTTCGACCGTGCAATTCTTCTATATTTATATACCGAGTGTTCGGTATGTTTCTTTCGAGTAACACTAATGGTCTTCAAATTGTATTTTGCATTCCAAGAAGTCCGTGTCGTT